AAAATAAGTAAGTGGTAGTGTAAAGGTAGAGGCAGTTCCCAAAACCACCCTTAGTTCTGACACCAACTTCAAATTCTGGGGTTTCTAGGAAAACCCTCAGTTTCAAAAACTTTATTAAGACTTAGAAAACTCACTTAAATCCATTATATTCACAGTTATGGGTTATTGTAACAAAAGGGTATGGATTAAAATTAGTCCAGGAAATGAACTTCAGTGTTTAGAGGATCCCAAACATAGAAAACAATAAGTGCACATAGTATGAGTTAAAAATGAGTTTAGCTGGTTTCAAAAAGAATAAGAAAAGACTAGTTTGGAGTAAAGTAAGGTGAGATGAAATGATAGTAGATCAAATCAGAGAGATAAGAAAGGGATAGATGATGTAGGTTTAATATACCATGTAAAGCCACTGGAGGATTTTGATCAGGGAGTGGCAATATCTAATTTTTATTACAAAAAGATTATTCTGGATGCTTATGTGGTTGTGAGGCTTTTCACTGACAGAAATCTGAAGTAAGAAAAATGAGGTTGGGGAAAATATATTGAGTTAGAAGTGCTTTGGAGACATCTGATCCCTATGGGTAAATTCAATAGGTAATTGGATATGCAACCCCAGGAGAGAGGTTTGTGAGTCAGCATATGTGGTTGTTGAAGCTATGGTTTGGATGAAGTCATAAGGTCTTGTGTTTACAGTAAAAAGAGCAAGGCGTTGTCTTGGTGACACCAGAACTTATTCTACATGTAAGAAACAAATAGAGGAAAGAGATACAGTCAGTTCTGCTGTTGGGTGACACATGCACTGCTAAAAGTCACCAGGTTGAGATTCACTCTTAGAGACTACCTGCATTCAAATTCTGTCTCAGTGCTTCCTATTTGGGTGACTTTGGGCAAATAATTTAGTTATCTGACTTTTCATAACAATCAGACAATGGCATCTGCCTCATAGGGTTTTTGTAAGAATTATGTGATTTTCTACAGTAAAGTTCTTAAAATAGTTGTTGGTACATGAAAGAATCTAATAAACACTGCCATTATTCTTATTATTAAAAAATGTAAAGCACATAATATAGAATCAAGTTGAGAATTAATATTAAAATGGCTACTGATTTCTTAAGTGACATGAACTGGATTGATTTTTGGGTAGGGCCAACATCAAAGAAATAATTTATTGTAGACTATTTATTTACTAATGTATATGTTGATACCCAATATCTAAATTTAACTCCAAATTGTAATTTAGGCCAGGACTAAATTAAATGTTAAAATGTTTGCCCTCTGGGTAGATGTTTCCTTATTTTATTTTTCTCCTTCCTTTTCTTTCCTCTTCTTCCTTCTTTCCTTCCATCTTCCATTTCTCCTCAACCCTCCCCATATATACCTTCTAAGAGTTCTATATTTTCTCTCAACATCTGTTCAAAACATTTGCTAAGTGTATTCACACCCAATTGTAAATACTTAAAAGTAGGATGACAACTCACTTTCACCTCAAGTACAAACTCTAGCTGCATTCAAACTCTAGTACATAGAGAGTAATCTCCAATGTGATATTTCTGTGGGGACAATGTAATGCTACCATAATTAATTAGTGAGGTTTGTCCAAAGGAGATGTGGAATTGTATGGGGAAATACAATGACTGTCAGGCGGTAGAATAGTCAGAGTACAACCTTAGAAATAAGAATGATGGGGCACAAATATAGCTCTACAATTTATCAGCTGTGTGATGTTGATCAAGTTATTTAAATTTTCTGTAATTCAGATTCTCCATCTATGAAAGAGGCATAGAATTTAAGTATAAACCATGAGAATTTATCTTCCCACTTTCTTCCCCATATATTATACATAGAAACAAAGGTAAATGAACTAATAAACAAACTTAAAATTTTATATTGAGCAAAACTGTGGTAACTCCCAAACTGTAAACTCCCCAAAACTCCCAAAACTATGCCAAGAAAACCAGATGCCACATACAATCAATAGGAAATAATTGAAACCTCTTGAGGATGAGAAGCAAAGTTTAACATAATTAATGTCTAATCCTTAATAGCAAGAAGTGCTATAGGATCTGAGGGGGACAGAAGCTGCCCAGGGAAAGTACAAGAAAGCACAAACAATTAAGTGGCTAAGTGGGAACAAATCTCAGAGGTGAAGGATTTGTTCTGAAGCATGCACCCAAGGGGACTGGATACAGAGGAAAGAGAATGAGAGGTTGTAGGCAGAACTGGCTATTAAAGTCCTCCTGAACTGCCTAGAGTTCAGAGAAAAGGTGGGGCTTTCATTTTAATTTTAAAAGGAAACTCTGATAATAGTGTAGCAGTTTTGAGATTTGGAAGGCCTGGACTACTTCTCACAGCATCCTTCTATAAATTGCTGGGCTTGGAAATAATGGTAATAATAAGAAGCTGACATAGCATAAATAGAAAGATATAACAAGCAAAAATGTAGGAAAAAGCAGCAAAACCAAGAATATACACAAAATATATTGCTATTAGATAAAAATTCTGAACAAATACTTTTAAAACAAAGAAACTCCAGATCACCTACATGAAAGAGGATGATAAAGCAGAAACATGAGAACTCAGGGAAAAGTAAGAGATGACAAGACATTTGCAAAGATATAAACTGTGAACTTAGAGAATTCAGAAGTCACAGGAAAAGAGTCTTATATATTGAGGTAAAACTGGAAAGATCTCAAAGAGAAATTAGACATTACAGGAGAAGCAATAAAGGTAGAAATAAGAAAAATAAATGGATCTGAAGATAAAAATATATTAAAAATAATTCATATAGAAGACAGTATGACTCAACATACTCATAATAGGATTTTTGAAGAAGATAACCAAGACTATGAAATTTTCAAATTCATGAAAAACTTGCTGAAGTAAAAAAAATGTCTTGAAGCTATACAATGAATAGGATTTTTATGCACCTAGAAACAGTTATCCAGAATGACCAATAAGAGGCCATATTCTAATAAAATCACTTGTTTTCAAAGATAAAGAACAAATCTTTAGCTGGTAAGTAATTTAGATGTTATATTAAGTAACCATAAAATGGAAAACAATTAAAATTTTGTGTGAATTATAAGATATGAGAAATCAAGGGGTATTTTCATGATTAAATGGAGTCCCTTTATGCCACCATAACTCTGGAGGTGCATATAGTTCTAAACTGCTATTGGGAATGTTTTGATGAAAAGTTTGAGACACATTATCATGCAATATTTTAGATCAAATATTCTTTAATATTGTTGTAAAATTACAACTATTTTATGAATAAAATGGTGGTTGTTCTAAATCTAAAACAGAACATTTGAGTTTTATGAATATCTCTGAGAAAACATTTTAATTGTATTGCTAGATTATGCATAAATGATATCCAATAATTATTTAATTATTGTACACAATTATCAGACTTGAGACTGAGATTCTCCACTATGTTTGTTCTTTGTAATGAACATAAATGAACATAAATTGACAGATATCTGCTAATTTTCTGCAAAAGGAAAATTAAGGTGATACCAGATATTCCTGATAATACTTCTTTTTTTTTTCCACTAAGCACACTTGTTTTAACATTTCTGGCTAGAGATTTTATATACATATTACATATGTACTATGTAATATATATACTAAATGTATATATATATATATATACACACACATATATATACATACATATAACACACATATATACATATACATATATGGAGAACACACACACACATACACACATACAAAGATACAGATGGAGATTTGTAACCCAAATAATAATAAATATCATACAACTGACTAAGATATTCTGTATTTTTAAGAGAGGATTCATTATCCTTTGTGAATAGCATTTAATTTTGTGACTCTGAAGGTGAATATGAAATCTGTTCAAGTTGTGGTGGGGCAAACTCATTCATTCAGAAATTTTGAAACTATTTTCAAGGTAGGTACTGTAGAAATCCAATAATGAATCAATTAGAACCCATCTTCCAGAAGCTTATAATGAGTAAGGGATACAAGTAGTATACTATTGGTAATACTACAATGAAAAATAAATTTTAAATAATCATAATTATATCAGATACATATTATATAAATGCATATTATAAAATAAATGTTGAAAAGGAGTATATCAATTGTATAAAAATGCAGAAAAGTATTGGAAAAAAAGGGAAATAGAGAAATTTAAATTTTGCAGAAAAAGTATGGTGTTTACCAACAATAAAAAACACTTAAATTTTCTTGTACAGGCATTACCCAAGGATTGTGGTGACCAAAGTACCTTAATGCAGTACACACTTAAGAGCCTAAGCATAGAGAGTTTCTATGTGATTTGTAAATTTCTAGAAGTTTAGTAGGGAAAATAGAGTGTAAGAGATTATGTAAACTTAATTTAGAAAATATCTTCCAAATCACAAACTTTTTTTTAAGTGTGATCCCAGTTTCTCCTTAATATAGATGTCATTAAATTTTAAGCTATGAACTGAAGTGAATAACATCTGGGAATCTTTGAACATGGGTATCCATTGGAGTAATAGATATTCTTATCTACTACTAGTCAAATGGAAAAAATGAGAAACTAACCTAATTTTTAAATTTGGGGTTAAGAAATATTGATGTGTGGGGGATGGGGTTGTAGCTCAGTAGTAGAGTGTTTGTCTAGCATTTGTGAGGAGGCTCTGGGTTTGATCCCTAGTACCACATAAAAATAAATAAACAAAATAAAGATATTGTGTCCATCTATAACTAAAAGAAAAAACAAATATTGATGTGTGGATGTATGTGCGCATACACACAAACTTTATTCAAAATAATGAATATAACACCTATTCTCCCTCTCCCTGTCTCATTACCCAGAAACTAGTTATTGATAGAGCATGCTTATTTTAGAAATTACTGTTGATACAAGGAAGATTTCCTTATACTCAAATATTTATATGAACACATGGATGCATAAGAGTAAGATTCTTTCTCTCTTTCTCTCTCTCTCTCTCTCTTTCTTTAATTTCCAGGCATAGATATTCTTCATCAACTAGGCCTCGGAGGCAAAGATGTAAGACACTCATCATCAATGGCTGCTGTACCATCATCATCTACACCATTACCTCAGGGGGTCCATTTAATAGAATCAGGTGTCATTTTTAAAAATGATGCTTATATTGAGTTACCTCTCATGAAAATTTTACCAGAAAACTTAGGACAGCCATTTACAATATTAATTGGGTTACAGTCACATAAAGTGAATAATGCATTTCTCTTCAGCATTAGAAATAAAAATAGACTGCAATTAGGAGTACAATTACTACCAAAAAAATTAATAGTATATATTGGAGGAAAGCAGTCTGTATTTTTCAACTACAGTGTTCATGATGAACTATGGCACTCATTTGCCATTACTATCAGAAACCGAGTTGTCTCAATGTTTGTTGAGTGTGGAAAGAAATATTTTAGCACAGAGACTATTTCAGAAGTTCAGACTTTTGATTCTAATAGTGTGTTTACCTTAGGAAGTATGAATAATAACTCTGTACATTTTGAAGGAATAATATGTCAGTTGGATATTATTCCTTCTGCAGAAGTATCTGCAGACTACTGTAGATACGTGAAACAGCAGTGTCGCCACACGGACAAATACCAAACTAAAACAAGCCTTCCTCATACAACTATCACACCTACTAAGAGACTGGAACACACTCCCTTGCCCAAAGGATTTGATGAAAAAATGCTGTTAGAGAATACATTTTATGAAGGCAGAAGCATTACAAATGCCATAAATAATGATTCTGCAACAGTGCATAAAAGACCAGAACACCAGGTATCACAAGCTCAGTTAACTTCTCTACATTCAGCAAATGTCTCTGCTGTGGATCTCACAAACTATGGGATTCAAGCCAAAGAAACCATCACGGAGGAACATATTCAAACAAATTTAAGCCTGTCAATGACCCATCATGGCCTCAGTGAGACAAGAATGAATACCAATGAGAAATTTAGTTATCTGCCAAATGTATCTGAAAATATAACACAACATGAGGATGATACCATAACTGGTATATCACTGTTTAAGAAGATGTCATCTATTCTTCCACATAAAAGACAAGATATAAATGCTAATCTCAAGAAGGCGATCACAGCAAATCTACACACTAATGAACTCATGGAAATGGAACAGATTTTAAACACAACTTTATACAGAGTGACAGAAAAGCCATCTGTGGATAATCACCTTGATCTAAGGAAGGAAGGTGAATTTTATCCTGATGCTACTTATCCCATCGAAAATAGCTATGAAACTGAGCTTTATGATTATTATTATTATGAGGATCTTAATACAATGCTTGAAATGGAGTATCTAAGAGGGCCAAAAGGGGACACTGGACCTCCCGTAAGTTGTTGTTTTTTAATATGTCTTAATGCACTAACTTATCATACATTTCAAGAGAGTTCTCTGGACCGTACAATACAGAACAGATTAGATTTGTCACAGAAATGTGTCCTGGCATAATGGTTGTTATAATCATTTATGGGAATACAACCCTGGTTCAAATATTGTACCATTTTTTAAAAAAAATTGGCAGATTGAAAAGGTTACCTCATTCTGGGTAAAGTGATGAGCAACCTATGGTTTTCTTGTTCAGCCGAAATCCAACCAGGAATTTAACTGCTAAATATAGATTGGCATTATATATATATGCATAGGTTTAACACACAGTCATGTTAAAAGAGGGATATATATAAAAGATGTGATAAAGAAAAATATACTAAATACACAAAGTAAATATTCTTTCAAGCAAAATATCATCAAATGGATTCAAAGTATAAAATTTATTTTAATTTTGTACATTTCATTCCCCATCCATGAACATAACACATGAATCCTGTTCATATATAATTAGGAAGCACTAATTGAAATAATAACATATGGAAGATCAGTAAAGTAGACTAAGCAGATCAGTGGGAACAAGGAATGAAAGGAAAGAGAAGGTACTAGGGAACAAAATTGATGAAATTATGTGTTGCACATTTACCAATATGACATAATGAACCCCACTATTATGTATAATTATAATGCACCAATAAAAAATTATTGTAGATAGAGATTATTTCATAGTCAGTCATTGGGAAAACAAATTCTGACATTATCATTCTAAATCAAATATTTTCATTTCCATGAACAGTAACATATTTCATTGTCTTTAATGATACAGTCAATATACATTAAGAGATTAAAAACTTTCAACAACCTCACACAAAAACAGTCAGCCTACTTTTGAGAAAAAGAATCAGCCTATTAAATGAAGAAAAAATTCAGATAAGCTGCTTATATAATAATTTATATGCAAAACTTGAGATAATACACTGAATTTTCAGCTAGGAATTCCTTTTATTGTGCAGGTATAATTAGAGATCAACATTTGAAAATGTCTAGAGTCATCTGAAACAATTTAAAATCAATATTGCAAGCTATTGTTGTGTTTTGTATTAGTATACCTTAAGTAATTTACCTATAATCTTTAGAAATTACTTTTTTCAAATTGTGAGTATACTAAAATATATCTTAAAGCATTTCTTTATTTAATAAAAATAGAATTGAGTCATTAGTTCCAGAAACCACAGAATGGGATAACAAGACACCACTTTTTTAGCTTTTGTTTCCTTTATGGTTATTACTTGAAGCAATTGTATAGATACTGAGCAACTCTTTTGAGTGAATGGTTAGAGGTTAAAATAAAACCTGATAATAAATTCTTTCAACTATTATAGTTAATTTTCAACATATTAACAATAAAATCAAATCATTGGGCAGGACATATTAAACAGTTACAGAAGCCATTTACTTTCTTCAGAAAAGTCAGTATGATGAAATGGATTTTAATCTCTTATGTAAATTCTGTAATAGGCATTCAGCTTTGGTAGCAATAATATATTCTGCAGATGTTTACTTACTTTCTGCTCTTTGCAAGACAGGAACACAAAGAGTATATAAAACACTCATTGCTTAGAAGCTATTATATTTCAATAAGGGAGATAAAGGAAGGGCATTTATAACTGTCTTGTGTCCTCAAGTATGATAAATGTTAATGATAGATATAAACTAAGTGTATGAGGTAGAGATGTTCAAAGGTAAGAACAATAATATTTTTTTGAAGGGCTTTCTATGAATAATCACTCAAAGCTAAGCTGTTCAGGATAGGTTCTTTTGTACAAAGATAATTATGACCTAGGCTCAAAGAACAAATAAGATTTTGACAGATGATAGGACTAGGCATGTTTTTTACATACGAAAAACAGCATAGTAGCTATCATTTGTTGATTTTCTTGTGTAAAATGCTCTACCATGCGACTTATATATCTTATTTCAAGAGTTTTGTAAGGTTATTATTATTATCCTCATATATCAGGTGAAGTCCAGAGAAGTTAATTTTCTTGCCCACAACAATACTGTTGGTAGGATTTGAACCAGATTTTCTACCTCTATCACCCAAACTCTTTTGTATTAGGTTGAATAATGCTAGACAAACAAAGACCTAAGCAATGTAGTGTCAGATTGAAGAGAATCTTGTCAAACTGATTGTTCTACGTTTTATCCTCAGTAGGGCATTTTGTAGGCTTGTAAGCATGAGTATTGCTTTTTTAAGTCAGTGTGTTAGCAGTGCCCAGAGCAGACAAGATATTTTTATTACTTAGTATCATATGACTAGGACATTATTTAGATTGGCAGAAGTGAAAATGCAAGGGAAAGGTGGGATTCAAGAGATATTTTGAAGGGTAATTTGGTAGAACTAGGAGATTACTTGGCACAAGGGAGCAAGTAAAACTGAAAAGAATCAAAGATGAGTATCTTATTTTAAGCTATTGATTGAGAGAATGATGAAGCCATTCCTAAAAACAGTAATTAAGAGAGAAAATCAATTTTAGCAGAATAAGTGAAAACACAAAAGAAATTTACTAGTGACATCAGTTGGAAAAGTTCAAAGAGTTGAAGTGAAGAGAGGTCAAAGCTGGGAATATAAATTTGGGAGTCTTCCCATCAATAAGATCACAGTTGAAACTATAGGTTGGATATTTTCAAAGAAAGGAGCTTGACACAGGGTCAAGAACCAAATTATAGGGAAAGATTTCTTTTTGGTTATAGAAGAAAAGAGCATAAATTTGACAGAATAGTCAGAAACATGGGAGAGAAAGAGTAGTGTACTTAACACAGAAGCTAAAGAAGAGCTTTGAGAAGAAATTGATCAGTGTTGCCAAAAGCCACAGAAAAGTCAAAGGGCAGGACATTGACTTCTCTGTAATAAAAACAATATTAGGAAATCCCATGGCTCTTCTGATGGAAGATTCATGCTGAACTTTGAGAATCCAGCTTCAGCCTAGTATAAAGGAATAGATAAATTTTAGAGAACTAATGAGAGATTGAATTGTGATAAAATTATGAATTTGTTTTCCTACAATTTCTTGAAGTGGATCTTACCTTGAAAAGCTGGAGGCCAGGCTGATTTCTCTCACTTCTAGGTGTCAATTTTTTTCTATCCATATTCCCATGCAGTTTTTTTCATTATCTCTTTATAATTTTAATCTTTCTTTTTAGTTCAAACATACTAATTATATATATTTATGGGGTACTTCAGCACATATATACATATCCTTATCATTTCTTTGTGTTTAGAGTCTTCGAGCTCCTCTTTTCTAGTTCTTCATAAAATATTTAATAGGTTGTTGTAAGTTAGTCACCCTACTGTGTACTGTAGAACACAAGAACTTATTATTTTTAAGTGTATTTTGTTACTCATTATTCCTTCTCCCTTCATCTACCTTCCCCACCATCCCTTTCAGCATCTAGTAATCATTGTTCTACTCTCTTCTTTGATTTGTTTTATTTTAGTCCTGGGGACTGAACCCAGGGTTGCTTTACCACTGAACTATATCATCAGTCTTTTTTTATTACTTGAGATACAGTCTCACTAAGTTTCTGAGAATTGCCTCACACATACAATCCTCCTGTCTCAGCCTCTTAAGTTGCTAGAATTACAAGAATGAGCCACTGTACCCAGCTTTTATTCTCTTTTTTGAGACGAATATTTTTGACTTCTGTATATGATTAAGAATATGTGGTATTTACTGTGTCTGGCTTATTTCATTTAACATAATGTCTTATAGTTACATCCTTGTTACTGAAAATGACAGGTTTTCATTCTTTTTATGGCTGCATGATACACATCTTCCATATATTCTTTATCCATTCATCTTCTAATGGCCACCTTGGTTGATTCCGTATTTTGGCTAATGTGAATAGTGCTACAACAATCATGAGAGTGCAGGCATCTTTTTGGTATAATGATTTTATTACCTTTGTAATTATAGTAGCATGATAACTGGATCATATTATAGATCTATTTTTAGTTTCGTGAAGACTCTCCATACTGTTCTCCATAATTGCTGTAGTAATTTACATTCTAACAGGAATTTATGAGTTTCCTTTTTTCTACATCCTCACCAGCATTTGTTATTTTTTGCTTTTTTTTGATACTAGGTAGGATGAGATTATACCTCATTGTAGTTATGATTTCCATTTCCCTGATGATTACTGATATTGAGCATTCTTTATACACTTGTTGGATGTTTGTATATCTTTTTTTTGTTTGTTACTGGGAATTTAACCTAGAGGTGCTCTACCACTGAGCTTCATCTCCACACCTTTTTTTATTTTGACACAGAGTCTCACTAATTTGCCGAGGCTGGACTTGAACTTATGATCCTCCTGTCTCAGTCTCCAAAACTGCTGGGATTTCAGGTGTGCACCACCAAGCCCCAGTGGCTATCTTTTTAAAAGGAATATGTGTTTAGATAATTTGTCCATCTTTATATATTTTTATGTTGTATTTTTTGGTCCTTTATATATTCTGGGTATTAATCCTTTGTCAGATGAATAGCATTCATTCCATATATTAATTACTGCCATTCCATATATTCTCTGTTTACTCTGTTGATTGTTTCCTTTGCTGTATTATGTATAAGGGTTTTAGTTTAATATAATCCCATCTATCTATTTTTTGCTTTTGTTGCCTGTGCTTTTGAGATCGTATTTTTTAAAAATATCATTGTCTATATTGGTGTCTTGAAGTGTTTTCCTATATTTTCTTCTAGGAATTTCCCAGCTCCAGTCCTACATTTAGGTGTTTGATTCAGTTTTAGTTGATAGTTGTATATGGTAAGAAGTAGGGGGTTATTTTGTTCTTCTGCATGTGTAAGTCCACCTTTCCTAGCACCATTTAATGGAGAGGCTATTCTTTCTCTCATGTATATTTGTGGTGCCACTGTAAAAAATCATTGACTAAAAATTATTTCTGGATTCCTTTCTGCTCTATTGGTATATGCATTGATTTTTCT